GTTTAGGGTTAGAATTATTAGGAAAAGAGTATAGGTGGATTTTGGTAGAGCTTATATTTTTAAATTGAGACCCCTAAATTTCACAATGATCTGATTTCATTATGATCTGCAACATTAAATACTTAAATTCTATAATTTCAAATGACTTTAAACAAAAAAAAAATCCTACAAATATCTCAGGTGTTTTATACCATATTTACGTAAATATTGTCATAAGTTCATGCAAATGTACATATGATATATAATGAGGAAAATATACGGGCAAAATATGTCATCAAATAAAAATTTTATATTCGTCTAAATCAACCTTTACATACCAATTTTCGTTGTATCTGCACAGAAAAATGACACGTTATAGTGAAGAACTTTATAATTTTGAGCACAAACTTAAAAATACGTTTGATGATTTCTTGAAAAGAATTGGGTTGTACGGAGATGAAAATAAAGAAGAAAGCTATTATAAAGACAGAAAAATTACTTGCTTTAATCCAAAGCTGGATTTCCATGAAAATGATAAGGAATATCTAGTTTATGTCGAGCTACCTGTAAGTCTAATTAATATTAGATCTTTTGATATTGACTTGAGATCTTTGCGAAATTATTAACATATTTTTCAATCCTAATAAATAGGGCGTCAAAAAAGAAGAAATTTGTCTCGATCTCAGAGACGGTGATCGTGTGCTCAATATTTCTGGTGAAATAAAACAGGATGAAAAGTTAGAAAAAGGAAGAGCCCATATTGAAGAACGTCGTTTTGGATATTTTCGTCGATCTGTTGTTTTATCCGAAAATGTCAATCTGGATAATATCACTGCTAAGTTTCATGATGGAGTTTTGAAGATCACTATTCCTAAGCAAGAGCTTACCAAATCCAAGAAAGTTTCGATTCATTAAAAAGTTCCAGTTTATTATGAATTTGATAGATTTCTGACATTGACCGATGGAGCATTAGTGCGAATTAAGATTGCATATTTTTAGATTGAAATCGTTCATCAAATTAGCTATTGCATGATTTATTAACATATTAATTTGAGGATAGTAATGATTGGTTTAGTTTATATAAATAAATTTTACATTATTACAATCTTCCAGTATCTTTAATTAGAATAAGTATTATCACTATATTAGAAATCAATAAAGTTCGTGACCGCTTTAGTATCTGCGTTTGCAATGGTTAACTAACAAAATAGGCTTTAATAAAACCCAGAATTTTGATAAATACGCAAACTAAACGATTTTTCGTTTTATTCTCAACAAGCTTAATGTTCTATCTATCATCGCTTCCATAATATTACTAGTGTTAACTAAGGTATTAAGGATAACATAACTTGGTAAATAAACATGATTAGCAACAGAATTATTTGTAATTATGTTAATCATATGCTGACACATCCCAAAGCCTTAAAACTTCATTGTAATCCTTCTTTCTTCTTTTTTTGATCGAAAAATATCCCAATCCTCTCGGCTTCGATTTGCTCACCAATATTTCCGGATTATCCGGAAGACCAAGTTCATTCACCGCCAAAATTTGTACTCTCTCCCTAATATTTTCGCGTATACTTTTGATATGATCATATTCTCCTTTGGGAAGTAAAAGAAGTTTTGTGAGAGAGAGACAAGACCTCATAGCTTGAAATAAGTCTTCTGTCCAGCGAATTGTTAACCACATTAATAGAGGAATTAGCCACGAAGTAATGAACGCAAATGGCAATGTCAAAAATACTGCTGTTATATAAATTGGGATAAGCAGCATTGTAGCAATAAGCAATTTATATTGGGTTATTTCATCATAATTATCTTCCTTGGGCAATTTACGAATCTGATATTCTTTATACCTAATAGTGCAAAATTAACATAAAGTTAGTTTACATTATGGATAGCAAACAACAATGTAATATGAACAGGTATTATTGCCGCAGCCGATATTATTTGAAGCTGAGAATTGGGTTCTACTTAAATTTATAATAATTCTGGCACTATATCTAAAAAATTTATATTAAAATAGGACCCATCCTCAGCTTCAGCAAATTTTAGCTTCAACTACAACAATTGTCAACAGACTACTTTAAAGAATTTACTAACTTTACGCATGTAAATATTGGTAGCCAAAGTATTATTCCTACTGAAGAGATCGTAGCAAGAACTGATGCCCAAATTACTCGTATAATAATACGACCAATAAGCTCAGGTTTTGACAACGGAATATCACGACTGAACCGATAATCTTTTATTCCATATGAATCAAGAAGATCTTGATATGCCTTTTAATTTATCATTAATGTTAATTAGTGGTTATTAAGAGATTTAATTAATCTTCTCAAGTTTTTCAATTAAAGGACGCTTACAGCCAGATCTCTCGATAAGACATGAATGTCAACATCTTGATGTGTAATCTTTTCTTTAAACGCTGGATTATCCACATGCAAAACATTGCTATCAACGCGTTCAACAATAATTTCCTTGTGTTCATTGTTAATCTCATTATTTCCGTTGTACTGACCTCCATTGGTTTCTTCACTAGCTTTTGCTAATGTATCAATAAATTTTTTTGTTAAGCGAACATACTCAGCTAAAGATATTCTAGTACCAAGATTGCCCGCGTACAGCTTTCGTGCAGTATGTGCTATATTTTGATAAAAGAAACTAATTATAGTATATTATTATATTAAATTATATGTAGTTATTAATTAATGAATGAAATATACCTATCCTTAAAGTTTGCCAGTCA